TTTATATCATCCACAGTTACTACAAAATTGTAATCAGTTGAGACTTCTTCAGCTCACCCAGTATGGCCAGTTTGTTAAATTTTTGTCTGGTTCGAAAAAATTTCTTGTTTTTTTTTTTCAAATGTGCGCAGATTTTTTTACTATGTCCTGAAGAACAGATATCGTATTATAGTTATTAAAATATGCCAATTATATTAAAACTGTAGAGTCGTGCTTGTCTTAGTTGAGCCGGATATATGTTGACCTGAAAAATGTCGTCTCGTTTGTTCATTATTTATATTTTTTTTTGTTTGAAATTACACACGAAATTATATTTTTCTGAGTTAAAAATTTAAATGCAACATAGTCAAGGCTAAAATATCAATCCTTACTTGCTGAAATTTGAGAAGAACGAGAACGGATATGAGTGATATTTTGACATGGAATAGTTTTACGGTTTTGATAAAGGAACTAAATTTGCTTGTACAATGTTCAATTAGTCACAAACTAATTCATTTACTCAATCTTTTTTTTTTCAACCGGAAAGAATTGGTACAAACTAATAGCCTGAACTAGTTCAAGTGGTTTGTTCTAGTACTGAATTGAGCCTATTACATCTCTGGAAAGAATATACAGGGCAATGTTTCAGTTCTTTTGAATAATTATAAAGCCGTGGTACAGCATGTTTTATTCATGTTGTAACTTTTATTGATGAAAACTTTATATCATAGTTCGTCTTTTATGTGCAGCGATAAGATCATTATCATGATCTAGATTGAATTATGTTAATTGTAAAGACATGTTTTACTAGATATGAAATATTTAATTTATTTAAAAATTGACTTTTTGATAATGTCTTCAAAGAGTAATGCATTCGAATCAGAAGCAACATATGATTATAATGAAATGCCCTTTGTTGCTCAAACGAATCACAGTTTTAGTTAATGCAATGACGATAAAAGCATTTTAGACTCAGACTAAGGATAGGTCTCATCTAAGAATTACTAAGAAGCAAGTTTTATTCTATTTTAATAAAAAGTGTGAAATTCCCCCCCACCCCCTCCTTTTCCTTGCAACAAAACTCATCTTTGATGAAAAATAGTATAAATATGTTGGTACATGTTGACTGTTTGATGATTTTAATATAAAGAATATGAAATTTTTATGCGAATTTTCTGACTAATATGGCTTTAGTGTTTTACTTCTTAGAAAATTATATTGAACTTAATATCTATTCCTTCGTCAAATAACATTAGTTTTCAATAACAATTATCGATCCTGTTAAAGAAGACAACAAAGTCGAAAATATTTCTTCTCCACCTCTCAACTTCTATTTTTCGATTTTCGATGAGAAGCTATATTTATATAAAAAGAACCTTGACTGATGTAACAATAAAACATAACAAACTCCTAAAAATATTAAAAGTAGCTTATTACATCCATGATTTTCGTCAACAATCATATTACTGTCAATATATCGCTTCAAAATGTAACAAAATTTGTATGATGTTTGTAATTAGTTTTTCATCATAGATGAAATCATATGGTAATTAAAACAATCTTAATATCATTGAATGCGGTCTTGATTTTAGTACAATATTCATAAGTAAATCACACTTAATTTATACTTTCAACAAGAGTTGCTCGATTTTATAAAATAAATATTATCAATAGATGTATATATATATATTTGCATGAGAATAAATACGTCTGCTGTTGATTTGTATAAAGCTAAAGTAAATTGGATTGATTATATTTTTATTGCATAGCAAAAACATGTTCTTCTTAATTCTTCTCAATCTATTATTACCATTGGCAAGTAAATCTCTTGAAAATATTTCTTACGGTGCGAAATTTTATGAAAAAAATAATAGCAATATAATAATCAAATTCGAATGTCAGCTTTAAGGAATCTACGGCAATTACTCCTATGACACTTGTTTTCCAGTAGATATTTTGTTAGAACATTATTGATTTGATATAACAAAGAAATAGATAATAATTAGATTCAGATATTATCATTACCCTCACTCTCATTATTACGAGATAACTTTTCCAACTGATCGAGCACTTTCGAACTTAGATTTTGTCCGTAATTTTCCCTGAGAACATACTTATTTTACTGTAGAAGATAAACAATGAAATCACTTGTGGATTGTTATTATAAGAGAAAATGCCAAGAAAAATAATATATGCATAATTTTTTTTATCTAGTTGCTGATATTCCATTGGAATGGATCAATTGTAGTACGTGGACCGATCAAGTATTAATTGAAAAAGTCGAAGTAAACATATGGCCACCTAAACGAAACGAATTATTAACAGTATCCGTATCAGGTGTGGCAAAAGAATCATTTATCGAGGATATTCTTTACCATCAATATTGGGATCATTAGATGATCTCTGAATTACATTACCTACTTATTCAGGTCCATTAAAAATGGTTATATTTAATGGTACAATACCTGAAATAGCACCTGAAGGACAATATGATATATATGTAAATGCAAACGAGCAAGATCAAGCAGAGATTCTATGCGTTAAAATTAGTTGGGAATCTAAGATAGTTGAAAATAAAAAACGATGGCTTAACGACCATTCGTTCAGATTCTTTTTTTCTGATCATTCTATAACAAGAGCATTTTTGCATCAATTTTTTTATTTTATTTCAAGTTTATCTTCATATGATGCCACTCTATTATGAAAAGAACATTAATTATCCAAAGTTATTGCTGAAGTGGTTTTCCAATCTGAAAAAAATATTCTCATTGTTGAATATCATTTTCTATATAGACAAATCGCTGGTTGCATGTAGTCTATAGATTGTACCTAATTCAATCAAAATGGTATTGACTGTTCTTTCTTAAATGGCAAATCGAAGTTGAACGTATGAACATTATCTAAAACCAGTCTTAGATTGATTTCGTTTCTCTCAACAAATAATTAGGCATGATGCAGATGAACAATCAAAGATGAATCGAAATCATATTTTGTAGTATTAAATAGGGATTAATATTTGTTTTATATTTTACCGACATGTATCGATCCGTAAATAAATATCAATAGTTCTTTCCAGACTAGACTGGAATCTAGGAATCAAGCCTTTGTTAAGTTTGATTTAACAAAAACTTGAACTCCTATATTATTCCTTTTTCATAAACCTATTGATAGACGAGTGAGGGGCAGTTGAGTCTTTTTAAAAACAAAGAAAAATTCTTTTTATTTAAAACGTTTTTGATACAAACTGTGATCACTATCTTCCATTGTATCATCACCTCTTCTATATTATTTTTTTTCTAAGAAAATAAACTAAAAAATCAAAAGATTTCAGTTCAGATCTTGTTTATTAGTATCTCAAAAAGTAATGAAATTCAATGCATTAACATTTGCTTGTATAATATTATCATTATCTTGATTAGAACTTTACAGTTACTGGTTTAGTCTTAATAACGGTATTGATTTCATGTTTTGTTTATCTAATTTAATATTCGCTTGTTCAAACAATTGACGAACATCTTCCAAACTTGAAGAATATTCTCTCGTATAAACAACACGTTTTATACCATTTTGAATAATTTTCTTTGAACATTGACGACATGGATTATGTGTAACATAAAGTGTAGTATCTCGACATAGACGACGACCTAATGAAGCAAAAACGATTGTATATCTAAAATTTGTGCATCAGAAAAAAAGAAGAAACGTTTCATACCGGCTTCGAATAATGCACTTTCTTCAGCATGTATACAAATACATTCGTCCAATCTTTCACCATGTTCAATTGACATATTCCAACAACGTTTACATCCACCTTGATCACATGCTTTGATATTATCCGGCGTACCATTATAACCTGTAGCAATGATGCGTTGATCTGTGTCAGCAATGATACATCCAACACGATGACGTACACAATTACCACTGAAACAGTCTAGAGACATGTCAATACCATAGCAAGAAAGTAATCTCTTATCGACAATGTGAACTTCTAAATAAGCTTCCTAGGTATAGCGGTTCTACATGAAATGATATTTTCAGATAATAAAAATTTGAAAAGAAATTTCTATTATCGCTCTAAAACTACTATTCGATGTCTTATTAATCCATGTTGCAGATAAGGTTATTGAATAAATAGAAAGTTGATTATGCTGCTGTTTTTTCTTTGAAAGATCTAATATTCAAATCTTCTCTTCATAAATTTAGAATAATACACATTTGATTCAAAATACAAACACAAATAGTGTCTTTCGAACCTTGACTTTTTTCTAGTATAAAACGAAGCAAAAGTTGCATTGCATTAGTTTATGAACTTATTCTAGTAGTTGTCGAAAGAACACGATCATGGTTTTTTTTCTTACTATTGTTTAAATAGTTTCCTCTGCTAGATGACTTCAATCTAAACGGTATAGAACAGATTTACGAGAGAGTTTATTCGACTGGTACTTTCGATTTCGGCTCATATTTTGCTCGTAGAAAGGACTCATAGTGTAGATGAAAATCCTGCAAGAATTCGTGTCACTATGCCTTTTTTTTCGAATTATAGCCATTTTACTGGACTTTCTATCTATTGCAGAATATCGAAAGAAAAAAGTTGTGACGAGGCGTTTCGGTCTGGAATTCTTTCCAATAATAACTCTCATGGTCCTTATGATAGTCTGAAAGTTTCCATTCAAACAATATGCCTAAAAATTGAATTATTTTTGAAGCTTTCATGTAAAAGTAACATTTTTTGCAACCTTATTATTTCAGAAAAGGGACATCTATTTGAGTTGAAACCTTCAAGGTATCATAACGGCTATAAGAGTTATTGTTTTGGGAAAATCTTAGACTGAAGCTTTCTGCTGCGATTTTTCTCGTGATATTACGAAATAAACTGAAAGTTCAGTGAAATGACCATAACTGAAAGAAAAATGTCTAATGGTACGAATCTTTTCAAGATTTTATCAATAATATAAGTTCTACCTATGAGCAAAACATGAGTTCAAACGAAGATTATTAGTCGGATTGGTTCGCTCGTTAGTTTATGATACTAACTGAGAAGCTGTAATCCAAGCCAACATTAAAAAATATTGATCCCAATTCGGACACAATAATTTTATTGTCGTTGTTGATTGTTGATCTTTTGAATTGACTGATAATAAATCTGCTAATTTCTTTTCCAAATTCCTTCGATCGTTTGTATCATTAATCAATCGTAAATCACAAGAGTCCATACATTTGTTTAATGGTGATATATCTTTACTATCTAAGTGCAGATTTTCTAACATGTTTTCAATATATTGTTCGTTAGAACTTAACCCAAACATTAAATAATCATCTAATTGAACAAACATTTCCAAAGAGTGAATTATCGGATGTTTTTGACGCTGAAATCGTAGTATTAATGGTCCCTCAATAGCAATTGGGAAAAATTGAGGATTATCACGAATTTCGGTCATCGCTTTCAATGAATCGATACCCACAATTACAACATTTTTTGGCCATGTTTCTTTCACTTTTGAAAGACATTCTTTAGCTGTATGATCTTTCTTCTTCTTAAAATCTTTGTACTCCAGTATAACGAAATCGTATTGTTCATGAAGGATATCAGCAATTAAATGTTTACCACTCGATAATGAACCAATTAAGCCAATTATTAGCATTATAGCTATTTAGTTAAAAAATTCTAACCGATCTACAAACTAAATAAAATAAGATGAGAAAGTGCACAATATCAATTCAATGACTGACATCTTAATGATAAAAAAAATAAGAGTCAAATAAATCTATATAGGCTCTGGAACTGAAAATCGAGATCGTTTATAACACTAGATGGTATTCGAGATTCTCTCGAATACGAAATGTAGTACGAAGAACGAATTTTGATTTTTCGAAAATGACAATATTTCATGAAAACGAATAAACAATTTCACGATTCATCAGAAATCGGTCTTTTCGAAACCATATTTATGTTTTGCTGTAATTAGCATTTGCCCTGCCACTATGAATTCTAAAATTCATGTTGCAACCGATCAGCCGACAAAAATCCGAAAGAATTCATAAACCAGCCATCGCGAGATTCATCACTACGAGAACTCTAAGAATGCGCAACAGCACATTTCTAATAAACGACATCGATTGATCGTTTAATTATCTGTATGCTTCATTATCTAGAATCAGCTGTATTCACAGCTGTTTGATACATAAGAAAAAGAGTAACACCTAACTTTTGCTTAAGTTTTCATTTTAATTATCTTGCAATGAAAAAAGCTCTAAGTCCTGTCAAATTTGTTTTTTGTGGACGCTATTTCCTCGGGAACAGAAAGTGGTGGAAGGAATCTGGAAAAAATGGCAGTATTTCGATCTCGATATCTGGCCTTCGCGTTTGAACGAGCACTTTGTGAGTTTTCATTCTCGAGATCATCGCGTCACAAAACTAGATGGCATTCGAGATGCCCTGCGAAGCCGGAATTTCGAGAAACCGAGAAAAACTGATATTTCTTTAAATATCAGACATGACTAAATTCATCACTATGAGAACTCTATCAAAGTCTAAAAACTTAGTTTGAAAGAATGATATTGATTGATCGATTAATTATCTTTGTGATTCATTATCTATGATCACCTGTATTTGTAGCCGTTCGACATATAACAAATGCGACTGGCGCCTAACTTTCGTCGCTATTTTCGTTTTAATTATCTCAAAGTCAACGAACTTTTAAATCATGCTAAATTCATCATTTTCGGAAGATTTTTTCTCGAAAACAGAACATCGTATGATGGTAATCGAAAAAAAAATATACTTGTTCGGTGTTGATACTTTTACTTTGCGTTTCAACGAGTGTTCTCGGAGTTTTGGTTCTCGACATCATCGAGTCACAAAACGACAACTTTTGATGCGTACATCTCAAATTCGTCATGTATGTCGCGATGATTTCTGGAGAAGTCAGAAAAGAATCGTTGTAATGAGAATTGATAGTATCAAGATCAAACTTAAATATTTCGGAGTCAAAATGTTCTTTAAGACATCGAGATAAGTTACCAATAGTTTCCCAAAAAGACGAAATTATTCGGAATTAGAAATTTTGTTCTTTCGAGATAATTAAAAAGAGAAACGTTAGACGCCAGTCTCTTCGCTCATGTAGGAAACAGCTGTGAGTGCAGCTAATGATAGATAATGAATCATGCAGATAATTAAACGATCAGTGAACAATGTTCATTAGAGAGTCGTGCATACGCGTTTATAGAGTTCTTCTGATGATGAATATTACAATGGCTGATTCTAAAGCTCATAATTACTACAATCAGCTGATCGATAGAAATAGAGTTTCCAGTTGTGAAAAATAAAAGAAGCAGTGTTCCAAGTAGAAGATAAACATCTTTATACGAAATATCGTTTTATTAAAAATCCTGAAGATGATTATTCGTTGTTTTCGAAAAATAGATATTCGTGCTTCGCACCTTACTTAGCACTCTCGACGAAGTCGAGATGCCATCTAGTCTAACTTGTAGTCCCAGAAATCATCGCGGCACAAAATGACGAATTTGAAACCGTACGTCTAGAAACAAACAAAACTCGCTACGTGGTACTATAATGTGCTTCGCACCTAAAAAAGAAAGAAAGTAAACTCGCGATCGACTACATAAATGCTGTGCTTCACATCGCATTAAAAAAAAATAAAAATGAATTATATGCTTTTGACTGTGATTTACTTTGGTAGAGAAGATCGAGAGAATATTCAATGTTGCTTTTTTTAGTTAATTACAATGAATTAATCTTGCTACCTAATCTTACCAATAGAAAACTACCAATATAACTACAATGTTCAGAATCAGAAAATTGTTGATAATGAAGGTCAATAAGCCTCTATAGCTCAGTGGTAGAGCGCCAGTCTTGTAAACTGGAGGTCCGTAGTTCGATCCTGCGTGGAGGCATTAATATTTTTTTCCTTCTTCTCTTTCCTACCACAAGAATGATGTTCGTTGTATACAAGACAATCTAGTGTGATGACAAAAAAACCATGCCTAACGAAAAATCTAATAGTGATTTAGTAACTGTTCATATCTGTGATTAAAATACACATTATGCACTAAATACGAATGTTTAACAAGCTTTTCCTAACATCTATGAACCAATCAAGTTGCATTCTATGTTTCGTTCTTTCGTATCTACACTTTCTTTTTATTGTATCGTGCACATGCATTAATAATAAACATCAACCCAATACTGAAACACTTAGCTTATTAATTTAAAAAAAATTAAAAAAGAGAATTATTGTTTTTTTCCATTTGACAAAAAATTGATGTCGTTTCTTTGTCTTCTAGATTGAATATAATTGAAATTGAAAATGTATAGTCAGTAACATTCATAATTATTTTCAAAAGCTATATTAATAACAACATTCATTATCTTACATTAAAAAAAAAACTATTTTCGTATCTAATCACTGATGAAAAGCATTCATCTCTAAATAAACATAATTATTTCTATTTGATTCTAAAATTTCAGCCAAGTATGCAACTATTAGTCTAAACTTATTCCTTCCTAAAGAAATTATTTCTACATTGAAATCATTTATTGTTTGTATTCATTAAAATATATAATGCGACATACCGTTAATTACAATATCAGGTGAATAAGTGCAGAATTTTATTTTTAGAAGTACATGTGGTTATATAGAAGGGTAAAATGGTGTAAGGACAAAAATGTCTCTGCGTATTGTGTTTTTCTTTTTAAGTAAAGGAAGAAAGAACTCAATCGAACCTCAAAGAGAAGTTTATGAGCTATGAAATGATTAATAACAAATATATGCTACGGAAAAATTAAATGCAATACAAAAAAAGGTTTTATGATAGACAATGAAATGATAAGATTTTTGTCACAATCAGTATAAAATATGCACCAAGTGTTTTTTTTAATATAATTGAGCTAGTGAAGTTATTTACTACTTGCTTTATTGTTTTAAATGAAGAAAAACATTTTTCAAAAATTATGTCTCTCATTGTTGCACAGTATACAAAGTTTTCCATTAGTTTTAAGAATGATTCAATAAATGTTAGTATTGATCGATAAATCCATTAGACAAAACCATTTGATGAAAATGTCAATGACTGTTTTACTATTGTAATTAACACAATTCAAATGAGTTCAAGTACATTGTAAGAAATCTAAGATTACTGTTAATCAATTAAAAATGCAAAAGTCAATGAATCATTGCTTAACAAAGAATTTTTTTTTTTGCAAAATTTTTACTAAAGCTTATCTATACCAATGTTCATGTTTGCAACAGTGCAATTAAGCAGCCGTGCAACACCATTCTTTCATTCTTTGTTTGACTCAGTGAACGAAATAGTTTATAGATCTTTTGTCGAATATTTACCATCAATATTGTATATATCCAAGTAAACGAATATTCAAAACGACATTGAAATATTGATTTAAGACATGATTGCATCATTTTATTAAGATCTATATAAACTTGAACAATATGATAACGTTCTCTTTTTCTACGAAGCATACAGAAAAATAAAAGTCTAATATTATCTTATTCAAACTTTCTTTCCAAACTAACAAATTTTTTCAAATCAATATTGATTTTCTTTTATCATATACTTCAATAACAATTGTAATAAATTATACTATTACATGTAAAGTATGTCTTCTGAAGGTATCAGCTAAGGTTCTAATTTTAATTTAACTAGTAATGTCAAACAATGACGAATATTGTCATTATTGAATTCAACGGTACTTTGATGAAACAAACGCTATTCATAGCAAAGAAGTCGCAACAGACAAGAGATAGTTGGGATAATCGATATTCATAAGTTATTTTATAAATCTTCTAGATGAAAATGTTTAAGTATGGAATGAATTTCACGAAGCTTTTCTGTGATTTGACATTGTTTATGGCATGCGAATTTCTTTATAGCTATAAATATTAATTTTGCAGGTCATTAATTGCTCGCATGTTAAGTGTATCTTAGTTTATGTTCAAATATATTTCATACGAAAACTGTTCACAATAGTTTTTCTACTTACAGCCACTTCAACTCGAAATAATACTTAATAAATACATCCCTTATGTCAACTAAATTCATCTCAGCTGCTCACCTAAGTGAATTTTGTATTGTTCAGTGTATCACATTAGAATCCGACATTGGGTTGGATAGTTTAACTCGATGAAAGCTACTTATACACTATATCAAAAATAACCAGTGGTGAATAAAACAATTCTTTTGCCGAATTTTTTCACGTGTTTTATTATAGTTTTACTTCACTATCGAATAGAACATGTGATCATGCAACTTAGTTGGGTGCGGATCTAAACATTTATGGCGATATCTTATTTTAAATATAACTTTCAATGCAAACCCATCCTAATTCAATTCTACTATGATTACTTAACTTTCGGATTGCCAAAGCTTGAAACAAATAATAAAAGCACAAATCCATAAATTTTCTAACTTTTTTACATCGATTGTTCGGTTGTAAACACAACCTATCGATAGTTTTCTATTTTGAAGTTATTTTTCGACAAATATTGATAGCTTACGAGAGAATCTTTTCATGTGCTAAATCAGTTTTGGATCATGACTATGTTAATTTGATGAACACTAGTGAGTGATGAAATAGTCTAGAATGGTTTGAGTTTCAAAGTATCCATTCTAACGAAATCGAATTTTTATTGGAATTTTCAACATAATTTTATAGTTTCCATTAGTTCAACTTTGTGCAAAAAGTTCTTGTTATGAAGATACTAGTTCGTTTTCAAAGTTTCAGCTTTTCTCGTCAGTTCTTTCATGAGATACGAGTGTTGGAAGTTGTTTTGTATGACAAAGAAAATTTTGTACTTATATTTGTATTTCGTGACAGAAAAAACTAAGAAGTCTGACAAATTTTACAATGAGTAAGTCTCATTGAAAACATTATTTGTGCGAAGTTTCAAATCGAAGCTCAACAATTAACTTTTTACATGACTATGGAGCTTTTTTGGGAAATTCTATAAATAATCTATTTCTTAGAAATGCTACAAGTAAAAGATTCTAAATAAACATAGATTAACAGCATCAAATGCAAAGCATAATTACACTAAATACTAAGTTATTAGCTGTAGTAATTGTAAGAATCGCTTCTGATTCTCTTTTTCTGTCCGCTATGCTTTAAAGTAAAACTTATTAGCTTTGTGAAATAATAACACGATTTTCCAATTAGTCACCACAGCTGTCAAAGCCATCAAAGACTGAATGTTCGATAATGAAAGCATTAAAAAAGTTGCTCTAATTTTCAGCTCATTTCTGACTAGAACGATGATTTTTCTTTTTATGGCAAACTTAGTCATTCCGGCTTTTAGTAGTTGATAATTCAACTAGGTTAGATTGTTTTCTTTCGTAGCAAAAAAATTTTGTTCAAGCATATAGATACATCTATATCAAATTTGGTATCCGGCGAAATCGATACCTTTTACTTCGCGTATTTTAATTCAAAATGTTCACAAATGATGAAAAAAAAAGAATACTGTACAAAACATGTTAAAAAAATAGAAAAATAAACATCGAACGAAGTTAATTAGATATAATCTCATAGCTTTACAACTTTATCCTATCCAGCTGTAAGAACTCTTGATTTCTCGTGCCAATGCCATTTAGCATCAATGCATATATCATCATGTGCTTTAATTCGTTCAAAAATACGTGTTGTTTTCCAATTCCAATTGATTAAACGTCCATCAGCATCACCATTTATCACATAAGACATATCAGGTGAAAAATCAAGACTACATGCATAACCAGATACCTATAAAAATTAAAGATATATCGATTTATTTTAATTTCAACTAAACGATTACATATCATATGACCTTTGAATATTTTTTTACTTTTCCATCGAAAGTTTGCTAATGGTTCCATGATTCGAATTTGATTATCCATTGATTGACATGCTAAATATTTACCTGTAATAACAAATAAAGTTTACATTAAACTAATATCGAACAAAAAAAATTAACAAAACCATTTCGTGATTGTGCAACAGCAAGCATTGAATGCATTGTTGGGTCAGCTATATATTTAAAATCAACAAGAATATTTCTTTAAACAAAACAAATAAAGATCTAAGTATCAACAAACCATATAGCTTTTTTTCCTTACCATTCCCATACACGAATACTTTTTTGTCATCAGATGTTGAAACAATACGATGATTTCGATCAACAAACGTAACAGGATTAATAACACCTTAATGTCGATCATATTCTTGTACAACATGACCACTTCGAATATCAAACTAAATTATCAGTAAATCAACAACATACTATGTAACAAATCGATGTTAAAAAGGAAAGAAAAACTTACACAAAAAATTTTCTTATCAGACATTCCACATATAAATAAATGTTGTTTATGTTCACTTGAATTAAATGATACACAATAGGGTATTTTACGCATTGAATACTTGACCTAATACAAGAAACATTTGATTGAAAATTTTCAATTATAAAATACAATTCATACCGGTTTCTGTTTCCCGCAATTTAACCATATTATCATATGAAACAGAAAGAAATTCTGTGCCTGTGTTATAAAAATTAACATCACGTACAGCTTGACGATGCCCAGCATATGTTCGAATACAACGACGTTCATTATAAAATCCTCATAATTACAAAAAAATACTGTTAACACAATCTTCATCAGATAAAAATGTAAAACATGGCGTACTTATTATTGATCATTGTAAGAAGTCTATTTTATCCTATATATTTTGCGATACATTTCTTCGTCATCTTTTATAATATTCCAGAAATGTATCAAGGAAGTAGTTTATATATTATAACCGGAGTTATCGATATACGGTCTTTAATCGCATATCGACAACGTCTGTCACAGTCTGTGGTGTAGGAAGTTTGAATCTTCACCCCTAAACTTCTGCAATAATGCCGGACATGACCATCGTGACGCAAAGTTGCAATCAGTCGAGATGTTTTGAAATGATTCGGTTCCAAATATCTTTTAAACAGATGAAAACCGGCAAAAACTGGCCGCTTTGTTGGATGATCATTAATAAGTTAATGAGAATGGTTTTCAAAGGTATATATTTTCCTTTTTGCATCCAGGTTTTTATAAATCTTCAGGAAGAAATATCAAGTTATAATATTTTATTCTTGATAAGTTTCTCAAAGACAAATACATGATATTACTATATGTAGTGTGAAAAAAAAGAGTCATTTACTTATCAACTGATTGCTAAACTCCAAATCTACAATTTTTCCACTGAGCCTTCTCAGACAAACCCAACGTTTCTCTTTGAACCGCTATCTAAACTTCAATTCGACCTTTAACAAAACATATATGATAGAAGTTTAGCTCAAGTAATTCAGTTTTGAATGTACTTTTTAAAAAAATAAAATATACATCGATTTAAGAAATAAAAAAGGGCGGACGAACAGTAGGAAGTAAAACTAATAGTTATTGAAACAATACTGTTTGAATATTTTGATAAAAGAAAGTAAACTTGCTCTCTACAAGCTTTGTGAGGGAAAATTGGCACATATACAAAATATTTTTCAATCGGTGCAGACTGATTACAGCTCTGCCCTGATTCACGGCTTACGGCCTCGGTTGCTGCCAGTTTTTCTTAAAAGTTCGTGGGAGGTGAGCGGACTGCAGTCGCGGTCTTTAAACTAGCCACATATCCTGTATTATGTACGCTATAAGTGACCAACATAAACAATGTCAAAAAAAGTCAAACTTTAAATGTTTAATCCATCTCATTTTGTTTCGAGAAATTAACTACATGTCATTTATCTTTGACAATATGTTTTCAGTGGCAGCTGAGTTGCCCATTATTTGCTTTATTAGATCAACTTTACTATTTCATATTTCAACAGTTTTGTTTTCTTTCATCGTACTTTAACACATTCTCGTTGCTTTTACTCATATAATTGATATTTATTAGATCTTTGTCAATAATAGATTTAGTTTACGTAAAGAAGTCCTAACAAACTAAAATTAATTTCCGTAATAAAAAAAATTCTATCACGCTGAATACTAACTTAATACTTCTTTTTAGATCGTGTTTCACAAGAAAATAATAAGAATTGTGTTTGTATTGAAGTAAATTTTTTCTTATCTATTATACTTACTTTAACTTTGGAATCCATTGAACAGGTAAGAAAAAAATGAGCAGAAACGGGAAAATAATGAATATTTTGTACAGCTTTTATATGTCCTTTGTATATATGTATACATTGCTTTGAAATAAAACATTGTTGTGGTCCATGTTCTGAGCGTAGATTAACACCAACATCTTGTGGCATATGAAGACATGATCGACCTTGATAATCATATGGGTCTTTAATCTCTAATGTTGTTGACGATGAATCTTCAGGTTCTTCATTCAATGTTGTTGATTCAGGATCACGAGCAGATACTAGAGCATTACGATTTTCCAATGTAGGTCGTTTAGCTTTGGGTTTTTTTGCTAAGTATTCATCGATTTCTTTTTGTTCTTCCTATAATAATACAAAGAATTGGTTAATATTAAAAATTTATTGAGTAAAATTTACTTCAGATGGACGCGATACAGTAATTTCATTGACAAATGGAGCCTATAGACCATACAAACCTTCGACATCACTTGGATCATTATTGTTTTCTTTTTTTTCGCTTTTCACCAGAACGTGTTTGACTTGTTTCAAAAATAGTCATGCCTTGATTGATTTCAGCCCTAGTTTGATTACCCACCATTTGTGGTATATCATCTTCTCCAACACTTGAATCTACTGCATACCCAAAACTATCGAATGTTCGTCGTTGATTTTCAAATTGAAAATCACTTAATGTGATCGATTCGGCGTAGCCATTTAGTACTTTCTTAAAACTACGTTGTTGCTGTGTCAAATTTGGATTTGTTGGACTAAACTAAAAGCAAAAAAAAATAATAATAAATAATTTCTTCTATTTTTCTTTTTTTTAACTTACTACTGGTGCATACATGTCTTCAAACTTTGGATTGTATAAAACTTCTCTTGTTTTGATATCGAAAAAACTACTTGTATCTGCTAGCTAAAAAAAAAAGAAATATTTTATAATCGTAATGTATACTATTTTTGAAATATCTGATCTTTATGTTGTTCAATTATTTCAACATGATTAATTTTAATTAAACCATGACGATTCTAATTCTTAATCTCCGTAAAAGTTCCCTATACTAACTACATATGAAAGATATGAAAGTCTTGGTAGAATTTTGAAAGATTTGTTCCATGCAATAATACTACATTATAAATGTACGAATTAATCAATGCAAAGTGTTATGAATAAGCTTTAATTCTTTACTCTTTATTTATCACTGAAGTAATAATTTTTAGACCGATTACAAAAAGTAAATGATGCATTGAATGTTAAAGAATCGAAAACATGTTTTGTAGTGAACTTCATAAAAATATCCATTGGTAAAAAAGAGTCATATTGTTCCGTTGTTCCATTGTCGAAATATTAAACGTACAAAATCGATAATTGTGAAAAAACTAAAATATTTTAAACAAAATATTCTCTTTTGTCAGAGAATAAAGATCTTTGAAGCTTTTTGTATGATATAGATTGATGAAGAGGCTTATTGGTAAATAATACAAATTTTTCAAAGTTCTACAACTGTTTTATGAATTATGGACAATAAACCGAAAATGGATCGTTTTATCACAGTGAAATACATAAAGGAAAATCAAGAATAGAGTTAATTTATTTGCTGTCAACTTCATTACCTACGGAATTAAAATAATATTTAAGATGAATAAAATGTGTTCAATGGTTATACAATTTCCGAAAAAAAAAAGAAACAATGAAAATATGTGTTGAAAACACGTGTATTGTTTCACAATTGGTTTCATGTGTTTACTCTTTCCCTTTTTGATTACTTTATTATCATAACACATAAGTTGCTTTTACTTAGTCAATTTTCTCATTAAATAAAAAGAATCCGTGCTTCTCATATCATTCAATCCCTATTTACTATCATATGATTACTTGAGCAATCAAAACCACTCTGTTTCAAAATCAGGACACTAGATGAATTTAACTAAAAGTGTACAGGGTCGAACAAGTTAGAGATAACAACCTGACGAAGTACAGCAACATGAGAATGATAAAATCAATGAAGCCATGATTGAAAAATGTTGTTAATCAATCATTTTCACATGATTATAGAAAGATGATGATTTTTGAGCAATACTTTTCACATTGTCGTTATGCGAACAAATTGAAGATAAGCATTTATTACATTGAATATAATAAGACTAAATCGATAGGAAATGTAACTAAATCATTATTTGGTATACCATCTAATTCACATCAAAGGAAAAGAATCTTCAATACAACTACAAGAATTCTTAAAGATTGGCAGCAAAATTTTAATGATGACATTGTGATGATTTGTTATTTATAAGAAGTTTCAACAAACAATTATACTTTAATATTTTGTAATAGAAACATAAAATAAATCAGGAAAATGTGTTAGTATTTACTTATTTCAGTGTCATCCGACTAGACTATGATTGAGAGTGAGAAATAAACTTTGTAGAGTACAATGAAAGTAAAAAAAGAATTTCTTCTGACAGAGTACAGAAAAAGTTTACTCAATACTTCTCTAACTCTTACCATAACATCGGCACATTATAGAGGCTAATACTCGATCTACAAGATTATTTTATCAGTAGCTTTTCGAGAACCGAATGTATAGAGTTTACAAAATTTTATATACTTTCAGATGTATGAAAAACTCGAAGCCATTCATGGAAATTTTTGACATCAAAGTTTTGTTTGAATTGCAGTTTCTTGGTTTTTTTTCGAATATTCAAATCATGAGAAAATAAGAACAAATGAAGTTTAAATATTCTTTTCTCTAATTTTCATCTGTCTTATTAACCTGAACAGTAATAACTGATGCTAAATCAAATTTAACTTTTGACATAACATAAAATGTTGGATTCCTTATTACAGCTACTTGATCATCACTTTCCTCTTTATGTTTTGTTGCACTTTTCTCGTCTTTACCATCATTATATAATGCTTAGATAGAAGCAAAAGCTATCTAAAATATATATATATATATTACCGATTTATTCAACTAATCTTTATGTTAAAAAAAAAAAGACAAAAAATTTATTGATCTGATCTTGCTGTTCGAAAGAAATAAATAACATTAGTAATACATAAGAAAAAGAAAAAAAAATATAACATGAATTATACACAATAATAAACATTTCAATATAACAAATGTTAACTAAAGTTTTAAATAACGATACAATATGGCATAAGTGTATTTATACTGATCTGATTTCGACATAATGGACATTGAGATGATGTAGCTAATAATTGACGACTACATAATGTACACATAATATGATTACATTGTGTAATTATTAAATCAACACCTGTATATTGTAAATCAGTAAGAGTTTCTAAACATATTGGACATTGATCACTATCAATTGATGATTGATGTTCAAGTTTATTCGATAAACAATCAGTAGAATTTGATTCATCATCTGTTAAATCAATTACTTCATATACATTTTCAATATTTATTTCATTATCTTCAATAATGTCGACTAAATCATTAAGAGGTGATGACAATAATATATTGATTATTGGTGTTATTGATAGAATATTATTATCAGTTATATCAATAATTTGATCATCATCTGAATCAGAATCAGAAAGCATTATAATTCTAGTATCAGTTTGTTCACATGTACTATGTTTATTTTCATATATTATTTCAATAATATCATCATCATCATTATGATTATTCTCACTAAAAGTTTAAAGAAAAAAAGAAATATTTAATAATCTTCCATGGAACGATAAGTTTTGAACCTGTCTAATGAAATAATCTGTTCGTTATTAATGGTTTCTTCTTCAGGTTCATTGTTTTCAGCTGATGTTGATAAAGAAGAAACACGACGACAACGTTTAATTACACACTCAGCTCCATCGAATAATCGTTTCATTTTTTCAATCAAATGAAATATTGAACAACGATTTTATACATTTTATACTTGAGATATTTCCTTGTAAGTGATTCATGTATTTATTGCTCAGAATAGATGGAGCTGTTTGTATATTTGACTTTTTTTTATTAGTGAAAATAAATCAATGTTTGAAACAAAATAATGATTTTATTTTAATATTTTGTTATTTTTTTTAACTATTATTCAAAAACTGAATTATTCAACATATAATTGGTTCTTCGTAAAACATGAAGAATAGAGCAAACAAACAAACAAACAAACACAAAAACATGATTGTTCGTAGAGTTATTTTCCTCATTGATCACGAATTAATGATATCATCTGATTAGTGATTGTGCTTAAAGTTAAATAAGTTTCATAATCACTATTTCTAATGGCAAATGTACCGATCAGAACATCTACTATCTTTGATATACATGCCGTTGTACATTTCACATAGAGTATTATTAGCAAAGTGTACCTAGGTAAACTTTTTTCAATAAAGTAAAACATTGTTTCCAAGATGACTATATGTATTTTTTAAATGGAAAAATAGTAAATGTAACTCATTCTATTTTTTTAGAACATATCACATTTTTCTTTTATTCTTTAATTGTATCAGGGAAAAATACGAACAAAAAAAAATATATATTTTTTCCGCTCATTATCAATTAGTATTTATGTCCTGTTTCATAGATACGTTACAACACATTTTTACCGCTCATTTTGACAGATTCTACTTACGACACGATAGTGTATATTAGAGTCCGGCAGGTTGGATTCGAAAATATTAGACTCGACGGACTCCAGCCGTATGAGACATGCATCTGGTGCTCTCATTACTGAACATAACAAACAGGAAAAAATTATCTCATATCCTTCTGATGATTGTTCGACTTCGATAAAAATATTTCATTGTGAGTATCAAAGGGCGATTTGACCGAGTTCGAAAAGTTTAGACTCGACAAACCCGAGCATGTACATATATTTTGTTAGTATAAACAAAATGTAAAAAAACAAAAGATATTTTGCTTTGGATTTTCATTAGAAATATCGATCATAATATCATCTTTTACTTTTTTTTTTTTTTGTAATGATAGATTATATATAAATATATATATATATACAAAATGTCATATCGAAATTATTCATCTCGTGAAGGTGGTAGACATCATACTGATCCAACATCATCTCGATTTAATTCGAAATCAAAATATCATCAACGTGGTCGAGCAAATAATCGTCCAGTTCCAAATCGTCGTCCAACTGCTGGTGATGATCTTGAAGGAATAACTGTATCAATTGGTCGTCATTTAACAACAGGTGGAATCAATTCTCAAGGTTCATCAATACGAGGACCTACTGTTAGTCGTTCTTATGGTCCTCAACAAATTTATCCATCTCGAATGAATGATCGTGATAATAATCAAATACAATGGTGGCGAATATCCATTCCACAAGCAGGTGCTATTGGAAAAGAACGTGTTATGTCAACACTTAAAGTAAATTGTCTTCGACAATTTCAACCTTATCATGTAAATTAATAAAGGATGAAAAAAAAACTTCTAATTTTATGATTCTTCTTTTTTGTTTTTGTTTTTATTTAGTATTTTATTGATCGTGATACCAATACTGGTGTTTTCTTTGTCCATGATCGAGAAGAAGCTGACATGCTAAAGCGTGCTAATAGAAAAATTGAAATTCAAAATTTAGGCACAGTAAGCTAAAATTATAAAACAAGATTTGTTATGAAAGTTTTTCTATATCGTTTTTTTTTTTGTTTTCTCTAGCTCAGTATAATGGTTGGTCAAGCATCATGTCCAGTACCTTTGTTAGATGAAGATTTACGACGACATTTTAGAGTAAATAACAATTTAAAAAAAAAATACGTAAAATAATATTTAATATTTAAGGATTATATTTGTAATCGTCGATTTAATGCACAAACATTTCAATTAAATTTATCGAATTTAGCTGATGATGAAGGTAAATTTAAGAATTTTTATATGAAAAAAAAAAAAGAAATTTAACTATATTTTGTAGAACTTAGTGCTCTTGGTATATATCCTCAACTAAATAAACAAGCATTTGTCCGTGATATTGTTGATATAATCAACAAAGATCTTAATATGGTTAGTATTAATAATTATAATCATTAATGAATACTATCCAAAGGGACACAGCAGACTTCTAACTTTTTGATATTATCCTGTATGGCAAAAGTCTTATAACATTTTTTTTGTTCAAAGGATATGCCATGTAATATTCTATCAGAATGTCTAAACCAAATATTGAAAGTTTAATAGATCATTTAAGATAAACATATCGATTGTTATGTTACTTTTCAGTATAAGAAACTAGATATTTTGAAAATTTTTAAATAGAGAATACAAGTTACGATTTTGTTTGTTTCGTGTATACAACATTTGAAATAAACTGGGAAGTATAGTCAGTTTTTGAAAGTACAAATAGTTTTTTCTTATGTTAAATCTAAATGTAAGAATTTTATGTCTATTTGTTATGGCACATTGTCTGAAGAAAAGAGCTGTTCTAGACCTGTCATTGAAAATACTTTTCAAACATCTGTGAATTTATTATACAAGTAGCTGGAGCATACATTTCCAACTCATCCCGATACTGAAGTTATAAAAAAAAACACGGAACAAAAAAATGTCAGATAAAGTAACAAATACGATTTCCTTGAGTTTTGAATAATTTAAACTCATAAATTCTAGGTTTTCATACTTAGCGGCGTAACCAGAGTTTTGGCGATGGTAGGGCTCAGCAACGCTTAAATATCCGGTGGTAGGGCTCAGGTTACTGAGGTCTGTGGGGTGGTAGGGCTTGTGAAAGGATTCAGCTGACGATGCTAACACCGGTGGTAGGGCTGAAAGGTCGGGTGGTAGGGCTGAGCCCCCCCTGGCCCTACCTTGGTTACGCCACTATTCATACTTTTAAAACAGTTCTAAACATTCAATTTTGTAATTTCGATAAAATGTTGCACGTTACACTTTTTTTAAAAAACAAAAGCATCTTTCTATGAGTCTCTTAGAAGATGTGCAGTATTAATGTAAATACTGACAGTGACTCATCAGCACTGATTACACTGGTATTCGTGCTTGTTACAACAGTAGGACACAAACTCTATCAAACTATACCTCTTTTTATAGCGATGTATTCTAGTGCTTCTGTGAATCGTATTTCAACCAAGACGATGTTCATTTGATAAGTTTAAATGGATAATAGAAAAGTTTAGAGTGATTTAGTTTTTCGAGGCACCCATTCTTGACTTATTAAAAATCTTTAGGAGTACTTTCTTTCTAGAGATATAGATATATGAATACAATTAGTTTTTACACAAGAGTAGATTTCCAATGTTTCATATCACACGATAGAAGATGTTGGAAAAGTTCCAACTTGTCCAACAGATTAAACTCATAGAGAATTTTGTTCCTTGCAAATGTTTGAAATCGAAAATCAATTTTTTTTGTACAACCACAGCTTTCTATTGGAAAAATCCAACAAAATTTCGATATCTCAAGAACAAAGGTTCAGAAAAACAAATCATGTTGAAATTTTCTACTCCTCACCATTACTCATGAGATAAACATCATCTTGGTGGAAAAGCAATATAATACTAAGAGAGCTTTCCTCTAAAATCACTGACGTTTGGTATTTATCATTTTCCAGTATCTACATGCATTTCGAAGAATAATAATTAAAATAATATTTTTCGTATTTGTTTTTAGACTCGTCAATTGGATTTGGGTTCAAATAATATATCAAACTTATATGAATTTCGTAATCTTCAATTAAATAATCTTGAACAACTTAGTCTTGCTTCAAATCAAGTAACATTATTATACAATAAATTTGAATTTCTTTTAACATATAGTTTTGTTTCGTTTATGTTTAGTTGAAATCTTTTGAAGAACTTTCTCATCTTAAACAATTAACTCACCTTAATCGTCTTTTACTCAAAGATAATCCATTAATATCATCAAATAACAAACGAAGTATTTCACGCGACGATCTTATCAGGTCAGATCTATAAAAATTTCTTCTTTTTTATTTTCATGGACATTCACAACAGCCAGAGACAAAATAGAAAAACATGTTCTTAAATCGAACGTTTTATCTTGACAGTAATTTTTGTTTTTCTTCTCTCATCACTCATTAAGTTTCATTCAAATGAGAAAAACAAAACATATTTAATCGATCGAATTCAGAAAAAAAAAAGAAGTTTAATCGTAATCGTTCTATCACTAAGTGTGAGTGTGTTGTACGTCGAAAACTCAAAATCAAGAGTGAGTGAAAAAAAAAAACAAAATGTATTAAATTTTGTTTGATTGTAAATTAAATCATAGTTTTTTTGTACGTCGAAAAAATCTTGTTTTTTTCCGTCCAATGAACCAACAACGATAAAAACAATTGTTTTTATTTAATTAAATAAAATAATTAAATAACAAATGGATGTCGAAAAATATTAATTTAACAACAAAAACAAAAATTTTGGTTATTCAATTTTCACATGTATTCTAAAGTAATCGATGAATATTATTATGTTGATATTGATTATTCTATCTATTCTTAATATTTGACATCCAGAAATTAAATCAATATTAACTTTATTGATTTTATTTATCAAATCAATTCAGTAAGATAACAACGACGAATAAAATATGGCTGATTTTATTTTTTTTTGTAATTGTGATGAGAAAACTTTTGTAAAAGCATGAATTTGTGATAAACGATTTCGATTAAAACAATATGAATACCATAATTCGATGATTGATGTCATTAGTTAATGAATGAAAACAGATGATTTGTTGAGAAACTGAAAGAAATTTACAATGAAAAAAACACATATATAAACATCTAACGTTCGATTTAATCATGTATTCAAATCGCCAATAAGTCATAAAAACAGGCGAACAAAAAAAAAAAATAATAGTTTGTTGGCTGTTGCTTGTATGTCTATATTTTCAGTTGCATTATGC